ATAATTAAAGCCTTTGGTTAAGAATGGAAAAGAATTCACTATTTTTATAAAGGGCATTCCTTTTTTTCAGCTGCACTGACAGAATTAATAATGAACTTGATTTGGCATTTGCAGCCATTGGAAATAAAAAAAAACATTATGTTGAAAGAAAACTGCTGGACAAACAGTTGAACCATTTTTTTAATGGCCACTGGACATTAAATGTCATTTATATTCTTAATGTCCTGAGTACTGTCCAGAGCATTTATGCTGTGTGGTTTTAAGAATGTGCATACATGAAATGAAACTTATTTGTAAAATCATAGGAACTTAAGCTATATAATAAAAAAAAACCAGTTGCAAATATTATCACTAATGCACAGTAGCGAAGAAAGAAAAGCTGCCATTTACCATATTATAAAGTGTGACTGATATTTTAGAAACTTCTAAAAGCACCATAATATTAATAAAAATGCAAATGCAAATTAATGGATTTCAATTTGGGTGAATGTTAGGAAAAAAATTCTAAAGTAAGAGAAGTTCAACTGTAGAATAAATTGCCCAGGATAGTATTGTATTCCTTTTGCTTAATGTGTTCAAACAGGTATCAATCTAATATGCTTTGGATGATGATTTGTTGAAAATCAGTGTGCAAGTAAGATTCATTCTTGATAGCAAGATGGACAGCATATACATTTAATAAATAAATAAGATGTGCGGAATTCAAGCTTCCAAAATTCCCTATTCAGTGCTTGAAGTTACCAAGTTTGAAAAACATTACCCTGAATGACCCCATCCAACTCTATTATTTTGAACCAATCTTTGCCCTGGTACTGGAAGATTCCTTATTATGTAAAAAGATGAGGAACATCCACTGGGAGAAGGACAATATTACTTGGGCATCAATCAGCCAACTCACCCACATGCCATTTTCCACTAGTGAATGACTTTAAGGGCTGAACTGAATTCCTATGTCAATGTTTCTCAACCTCAGCAACTTTAAAATGTGTGGACCGCAATTCCCTCAGCATACCTCAGCATGTCTGGCTGGGGAATTCTGGGAGCTGAAGTCCACAGCTTAAACTTGCTGAGGTTGAGAAATGTTGTTTTAGAGAAGAGGTGTCAAACTGGTGGCCTGCAGGCCGGATGCATCATGCGCAGGTCATGCCCACACCGGCTCTGCAAAAGCAAAAAAAGTCTTGATACAGCACATGACACAATCAAGTTTGACACCCGTGTTTTAGAGCAATCTGGTACCTTGAAGATATATGGACTTCAACTCACAGGATTCTCCAGCAGCAAGCAATACTAAGCTGGCTAGAAAATTCTGGAGCTGAAGTCCACACATCTTAAAATGGCTGAAGCTGATATGTGATCTAAGCTTCACCTCAGCTTTAAACTTACTTAGCTGATCTTTCTCCCCGCATCTATGGCTGGAGGAAAAAATGGGGGGGGGGGAGAAGAGAAAGAGCGGGGAGGGAGGGAGAGGGAGGGAGAGAGATTGCAGTGTAACTTGTATCAAAGCTAATTAATATAGAAAGATTTTGTGAACATAATGGAGCAGCAGTTTGACTATGGAAAATGGATTTGATGGATTGGAATTAGGTCCTGATGAAAACACTTAAAACTAGTTTATCCAATGTTTTGCACAAACTTCTGTTATTTCTGGAAGTGATTCAAAGCCAGAAACAATTTACTCTAAGATTCTAAATGTCAGTAGAATTTTCCACAAACATTTCTGAGATTTCAGAAGCCAAAACCTCTGTACTTATAGGCACCAGTGTATTATATTCGGTAATACAGTCAAGCCTGAAATGTTTATCGTTGGTGTCTTCTAGACTAGAGTAAGAACACAAGGCATTATATATGAGATGGTAAAAAAACCATAAATTGCACCTATCACCTTTAATTTGCTATGTTATAAATTGAACATGAAGAAACAGCCACTAAGGATTTAATCTCACTTACTAAATTTAAATAATTTAAACTTAAGCCCTCTCTGAAAGACCCTTCTAATCGATATCTTTTTGCAACATTTTGAAATATTTTGGGAGCTTTGTGGAAATTTCCCAAGATAAAATACTATCACCAGCAAAAAGCAGAAACCCGTTATAATTTTTGAAGATCAGAAGCATCAAGTGTCTGAACAAAGGCCTCTTTCAATCATCTAAAAAGCAGAAGTGATACACAGAAAGGAAGATGCAGTGGGAGCTGTTTTTCATATAATTGAAACAGAAACAACATTTACTGAACCTCAGCAAGAAATGTTTTCAAAGGTAATTTCTTGTAGAGATGCAGATAGGGCAGTGGTGGCGAACCTATGGCTCAGGTGCCAGAGGCGGCACTCAGAGCCCTCTCTGTGGACACGCACGCCGTCACCCCAGTTCTAGGCTTTCAGCTGGGTTTTATAAAACCTTTTCGCTTTAGGCCTCCACCGCCGTGTGCAAAAAAAAAAAAAAAAAAGGTTCAATCAATCAGTCAATTTCAACTTCTCAGGGAAAAAAAAGATCTTGCAAAGTTGGAATTGATTGATTGAACTTTTTAGTCCCACCCAGTCTGCTGTTACCACCACAGCCATGCCCACCCAATGGGCGACACCCACCCAATGGGCGACACCCACCCGGCACCCAACAATGCATAAGTGGGTTTTGGGTTGTAGTTTGGGCACTCAGTCTCTAAAAGATTCGCCATCACTGAGATAGGGCATACTTAACAACCATTCTTTCAGTGACTCTTTGAAGTCTGAATGAGGTGCTGAATGTTAGCTATGCCTGGACTCCAAAGTTATGGCCATCATAGTGCACCGATGGTCACATTATTAAAATTGTGGTGCTTGGCAATCTGCCTGTACTGAAGAACGCAGGGCTGCTTCAACTCCTCTCTCATTCCCCTCCAAAAACTCTGCCTTTCTTGCTGCCCTGTGTTCCACTTGCCCTGCCAGTCCTACCATCCCCAGCTGACTTTCATTGTCTTCTTCTTCCCAGTATGACAATACGCGCTTTGGGCAACCTGCAATCCTGACTGGCCCTCTCATAAGACTTTGAAGTCTTCCAAAGCCTTGCAAGGAAACTGCATACGATTTGGTATGCCCACATGTGGGTTCAGGAAAAAGGCTGGGAGCAGCCAGCAGCTGCCTTGTGAAGGACCACCCAAGCTTTTTCTTCTGCCTTGTCAGCAGGCTTGATAGGCCAAGTAGGATGAACAGAGGACAGCACAGGAGGCAATCTTTTCCCCTACTGAGGCTCAGGCTGGGAGGAATCCAATTAGGAATGATTGGGATCGAGGCGAGTCCTCACATTGGTGAATTGGTGGGATTCAGTTAACAACTGCAATGGGAATTGTCAGGACTGCTATTGCAGTCACATGATGTACTTTACAATCACATTGCTTAATGATGGAAATTCTCATCTAAATTACAGTCCTAACTCGATTTGCTCAATTGTTAAATAAGTTTCTGCAAAGAGAAGTGTAATGTAAATTTACATCAGTCTTTAACTATAAAATAGTTGGTATCATGCTTTAAGTAATTAAAGAAATCAGAATAACAAAACTAAGTGTCAAGAATAAGTGGTTATCATTGCAGAAGAGTCTCATAAACTGCTTGGATACTGCTTGTTCTGTAAGCCGAACTGTCTAATAAGTCCTTTCCCACAGCTGCAATGGACTCCTTTAAACTCCATTAGATAGCAATTTATCTACGACAAAGGGGCCACACACTGTCCCTGCTATAACCAACCAAAACAAAAGTGATGTCATTAGCCTGCTAGGACCGATATAATATGTTATAGACCACTGTTGACATGGTGGATACTGCATGTAGAAGTTACCTCAATAGGTAATAATACCTCATCTCTGGTGAACCTCAATAGCTGCCAAAAAGCCCAACACAGTGCTAGGCTGCATTAACAGAGGGATAGAATCAAGATCACGTGAAGTGTTAATACCACTTTACAATGGCTTGGTAAGGCCAGACTTGGAATACTGCATCCAGTTTTGCTCACCACAATGTAAAAAAGATGTTGAGACTCTAGAAAGAGTACAGAGAAGAGCAACAAAGATGATTAGGGGACTGGAGGTTAAAACATATAAGGAAAGGTTGATGGAATTGGGTATGTCTAGTTTAATGAAGAGAAGGACGAGGGGGGACATGATAGCAGTGTTCCAATATCTCAGGGTCTGCCACAAAGAAGAGGGTGTCAAGCTATTTTCCAAGGCGCCTGAAAGCAGGACAAAAAGCAACGGGTGGAAACTAATCAAGGAGAGAAGCAACCTAGAACTAAGGAGAAACTTCCTGACAGTGAGAACAATTAACCAGTGGAACAACCTGCCTCCAGAAGCAGTGAATGCTCCAACACTGGAAGTTTTTAAGAAGAGACTGGACAGCCATTTGTCCCAAATGGTATAGGGTTACCTGCCTGAGGAGGGGGTTGGACTAGATGACCTCCAAGGTCCCTTCTAACTTTATTATTAATATTAATATCATCATCTTCTTCTTCATCATCATCGTCACCCTTTTCACCCCAAACAAGGTGAAGCTAATTTTTTCTCAGTTACTTTTTCAAGAACAGTCAGATATGAAAGACTGCTGAACAAGTTATCTGGAGCAGGAAAATGACACTACAGCAACTCCAATTCCCTACGTAATCTTGATGTGTGTCTCTGTTTAGAGAAATTTGGTAAAGAACTGGAAGAGCTCTATTCATTCCCTTCATCCAACTAAGTCTATGTAGAACAGGGGTAGTCAACCTTGGCTCTTTTATGACTCGTGGACTTCAACTCCCAGAATTCCTGAGCCAGCTAAGCTGGCTCAGGAATTCTGGGAGTTGAAGTCCACGATCATAAAAGAGCCAAGGTTGACTACCTCTGATGTAGAACATGCCAAAACAGTTTTCTCATCCAAGATCAAGTCATCAGTGTTTACGCTTTTCTCATTTTCATCAATTATACAAAGATACCACCGCAACTTTAAAACTTCTTAACAAACTATTAAATTTGAGGCAGCAACATTTAGAATAACTTACTAAGTATCTCTCCTCTTGTCTCATATTTGGAGTACGGATCATATGGTTCTGTTCCCCTCTCCAGTCTCCAAAACGGCGAAAAAAATAGTTAGATAAAAATCGATTGATAGGATCTCTAATAATATTGATGTATACTGGTTGGTCTCCTCCAAATCTGACAAACAAAAATAAAACAAAATCAGAAAACTGCAAAGAGAACGTTTACAAATTCAAAAGAAGGTATCAGAAGTGAATATATATGAATACAAAATAGAACTACAGTAACCAGGAGATAAAATGTTTTTAAGGTTGCACATTACTAAATCAGAAAATTAAATAAATACATCAAAAAAGAATATAACTACTTCAATATATAGTAGTAGTAGGAAGAGACCTTGGAGGTCATCTAGTCCAACCCCCTGCTCAGGCAGGAAGCCCTATACCATTTCAGACAAATGTTTGTCCAGTCTCGAAGTCCTAGTGGACAAGGACAATCACTTAAATATAAGCCAGCAGTGTGCTGCAGCTGCCAAAAAAGCCAACATAGTGCTAGGCTGCATTAACAGAGGGATAGAATCAAGATCACATGAAATGTTAATACCACTTCACAATGCTTTAGTAAGGCCACACCTAGAATACTGCATCCAGTTTTGGTCACCACGATGTAAAAAAGATGTTGAGACTCCAGAAAGATTACAAAGAAGAAGATGATTAGGGGACTGGAGGCTAAAACATATAAGAAACGGTTGCTGGAATTGGGTATGTCTAGTTTAATGAAGAGAAGGTGACATGATAGCAATGTTCCAATATCTCAGGGGCTGCCACAAAGAAGAAGTCAATCTATTCTCCAAAACACCAGAAGGCAGGACAAGAAGCAACAGATGGAAACTAATCAAAGAGACAAGCAACCTAGAACTAAGGAGAAATTTCCTGACAATTAAAAAAATTAATCAGTGGAACAACCTGCCTCCAAAAGTTGTGAATGCTCCAACACTGGAAGTTTTTAAGAGACTGGATAAACATTTCTCGTGCCTGAGCAGGGGGTTGGACTAGAAGACCTCCAAGGTCCCTTCCAACGTTGTTGTTGTTGTTATTATATTACTATTATATTCCTTAAGTTTACATTATAAAAAGTTATGTACAAATTCTATATTAAGATAATTTTGAAGATCATTACTTTCAAAATATATTCTAATAAAGTGGATTATTACTTTCAGATCTACCTAAAAACAAGATGTGAAATGAGAGATAAAGAACAGTATGGATATACATAATTTATTTGGAAAAGATATACATAATTTATTTGGAAGAATGTCAGTGGAAACCAATAGGATTTAGATACAATTATACTAGCATCTAAATTGTTAGGAATAGAAGTATGTAGCCTTATTGCAGTGTAAATCCTTTAAATTTAATAAAAAGATACCTAATGTTAAATGTTAATACATTTTTCATGAAACACAGGCATTCTATATATATTTTTTAGATTGTGCACTATGTCATCAGTGTAAATGCAATACTAGGAATAGTATTAATGGAATATAAATTTAGTTTTAATACAAACTGAAGTTTGTCTTTAAAACTAAGATTTTACTTATTCCCCAGAGTGCTTTGTGCTTCTTCCAAACTTTAGCCCTGTGATACTTATACAGATCAGTTATTTTCCCAGGTGCAATATATATATATATATATAGTTTTAGAACAGGGACAAAATCTTCCATGCAAAATAACATTGCTTCACAAAATGGATTGTTACAATTCATTGCTCCTGAAATATTAATGCTAAGGTTATTAAAGCAGAATTGCTAATTTTAATTCTCATAATGTATTATAAACAAAATTCATAAGCCAAGTGCTCATTTTTCTTATTTATTTTTCATGAAATTAGTCCAGTTCAGCTAGCAAATCAATTTTGTATCAAAGAATCATCAGAAAGACAACCACAATATGTTAAGACTTAACATGAGGTTGAATACACTACCCCATGAGATAAAGGAAAGAAAGACCCTTTAATTAAAGCATAAATTTATGTGTGAAACTATTCTAGGAAGTATAGCACCTAAGAATAAGACTTAGAGAAAGAATGGGAAACTATACAAAGTATTTTAAGAAATTTAAGTAGAATAAATTGTTTCAAAGACATATTAGTGAGCTAACATAGTCTAGAAGTCTTATTTTAGCACATAATTTACAATCCTGGGAATGTCAGAAAAATTAAAATTTAAGTTTTATAATAGGTATTATTATTTTAGAACACTGGCTACCCAAGCAAGAAATAAAACTGAGAGTCAGTTGGATTCAGATGGGTACTAAAGAAATTGAATAAATAATAAATAAAAATTATCAAGCTGATATAAATGAAGTTTGCAGAAGTGCAGCAACTCTTTTTGAAGAATTAAATCCATTCAATTTTTGTTTCCATTACTAGATTGGTAAAATAATAATATTAGCTAGCTTGTCTAAAAGTACAGCTTTGACTAGTATCTAATCTGACAAAGTGATAAAGGTATATGAATTCAAACTGGGATGATCTCACCAAATTTGATTCCCATGCATTTCCACAGAGCCCGTTCAGTCTTTGGCAACTCTGTATAGAGTCTGGGTTGGACATTCAAATTGCTAACTATTAGCAATGAATTAACTCACTGATTAGTTTACTATATTTGTTAAGTAGATTTCACCATACAATTCTTGTGAGGAGGAAAGATGCAATCCTGTCTGACTTCCTGCCAGCTCCCCCACTGACTGATGCCAGGGAAGATGTGTGAGAGGCATGGTGCAGATGCAGAAGGTGCAAAGGAGGACCAGAAAAATACAAGGGGATATGCGAGAGGTGCCACATGGATCTAGGAAAGTACGTGAGAGTGCACAAGAGTCGCAGCATGGGTTGGGGAGGTGCAGATCAAGAAGGGGGGACAGTCTAGGTTAGGGAGTGGCAATGAAGTGCAATGCTGCTCAGGGAAGGTACATCAGAGTGAGGGAGTGAATGGTAGAGTGCAAAATCCAGAGGGCTGGGGACGTGTGCACGGGTGGAGATTTATCCCAGCTTCCCCAGGAAAGGTGGCAAATCATGATCAAGTGATTGTGGGACAAGTGGCAACAAACTGTTCAGTGCGAACAGGTTGCCAAGTACCCAGATCATGATCATGTGTCTGTAGCAGTGCTGGGATGGCCAGAACTCTGAAGGCATAGCCACATTTGTTAGTGCCGTTATAACTTGGAAAGTTGCTGAATGAATGACTGTAGGTCAAGGGTTACCTGTATAAACTCTATTTTGTTTCTGATATCAGTTTGCACAACTGTAGCATCAACGTGTGTATAATACTTCATTCAGATTTACATGTGCATTGAAACAGGCTGCACATCTCTTATTCTGTTCTCTCTCAACCAACATTGTGTAATTTAAATTATTCCTCCATCTAATTGTGTTTTTCTGACTTAAAGGTAATCCTCAATTTATGACTGTCACTTAACAACTGTTCAAAGTTACAACAGGCTCAAAAATAGTTACATATAATTTACCTTTAAAGTTACTACTGCCACATTGCTGCTGTGGCCATATGATTGCATTTTGAGCATTTGGCAACCAGCTCACATTTACAACTGGTTGCAGCATCCTACAGTCACTTTATTATGTTTTGCAATTTTTTTGCAGTTTTCTGACAAAAACCATTTACAACTTTGTGATTCACTTAATGATCTTTGTACATGTGATTCATTTAATGGTCTTCATAAAAATGCTTGTAAAATCAAGTCTAGTAATGTGATGACTTGACTTACGACTGCAATCACTTACGACCAACGTTTTGGGCTCAATTGTGGTTGTAAGTCGAGGACCACCTGTAACCAAAGACCTACATACAAACACCCGCGAAAACCTCCGAAAACTATATATATATATATATTCTAAATCCTTTGCTCAGTAATACAAAATCCTTCTTTCTTCCTTCTTGTCAAAAAATCCTCACCCTTGATTAGCATGGATGGCTTGAGGGAATTCTACATCACTGCTTTTCTGGTTTATGACAGAAATTGCAACTTCCTTATGGTAGAATCTCACACTATAATGGGATGTGTGTCTGTACACGTACTGTATAGTCCCCAAATAAATCACAGGTGATCAAAACAAAGAAGCAGGCAGATGGGCATGACAAACAGTTATCAATTTCCTAACATTAAAAGATAAATGTTTTTCTGTAGCTAAACATTAAATTAAAAGGATTCTGTAAACCAATTGTCTGTTCATCGCAATGTGCTATTAAAATTAAATGAGGATTTTCCTTACCTTGAGAAATTAAGGAAATGAACATGTCTAGTGAATAAATAGGGCTGCTCTGCAGTGCTTACATTTTTAATCAATTCCATCTAAAAACAAAAAGATACAAAAATTAAGATAAACAGTTCCAAAGAGAAGCCGTGAAAAGCTACTTATTTCATTGGACACTGACTCTTTAGATCAGAGGTTCCCAATGCCTAGTCCATGGACCGGCACCTGGGCCATGCAAACAAGCGAAGCCCCATCCGAGGATTGCAGGCAGCATGTAAAACGATGCCCCCTCCAGTCTACGGAAAAACCTTTCTCTATGGAACCGGTCCCTGGTGCCCAAAAGATTGGGGACTGCTGCATTAGATTGCAGCAAACTGTGCACTAAAAGTAATGAGGAAAATATGGGGTTTTTTTCATATAAAAATGTTCAACTTTTTTTGAAATTTATAATTTTAAAAATTAATTTCCTCTTTTCTTATTGGTAGTTTTACTGAGCATGAAGCACTAATGCATAAGCAGCAGAAACAAATCAGTCAGCTACCTGATATTCCAGTATGTTCATAAGCATACAAACACAACAATATGTACATATATTTAATGTACTTACAAAGACAGTACATTAAATTTCATTAAATCAAGCTAATTTTTCCTTAAACAATGACCATTCCATTCTTAATTTTCATCGGTGCTTTATGCTCTAAATAAACATAGCAATTAGCAATTAATAAAGTCCAATGTTCTCCATTATTTCATTCAATTCCTTCAAGAATATTATTTGTGTTTAGTTTCCATAGAGATTTTGTTTTCAAAAGATAATTCAATTTTAAGATCCTTTCCTGTCATTTTTTTTTTAAAAAAAGCTTGACTTTTAAGTGATTTCTGCAACTGTGTTCTGCTTAATTTTGCAAAGCCTCAACATTTCTGGAACATGCTGTATTACATCAATCCCAAAGGTTACAATTAGATATTTACAAGAGAATTCTAGGCTTTCTTGCCAGTGATTTAGGCTTTAGTCAGTTTATTTTATAATCTATATAGTTATATTGTACAAAACCTCCAAGTGGTAATTAAAAAAAACCTACACATGATTATATCCCCATTATATCCAGTTGAAACCACAAAATTGCACAACTGTGCAAAAATTGTACGATAGTTTTAGTTAGGTGATAAAAATCAATACATGCATCCTGAGTATGTGTCAGTATATGTCAAGGTTTGTGAGATGTGCATGCTTGGGACAGACACGTGCTTTGTTTATCCTTATGGCACAATGGTTAAAACACAACAAGACTGACCAGTACCATTCTTATTGTTATCAGAAATGCTGCGCATGTGGCAAAACCAGTCTACCCCTTCTCTATATTAATAAAAAGCATTTTGTGAAAGCCTCAATTGACTAAATCCGTGTTGATCAGAAGAGGTCAACAACTATCAGTGTCTTCGGTGACAACCGTGGCATAAAGAGGATTGTGTCTTGGAATGAAACAGGATTACATGATAAAGAACATCAGATTAAATGTGACAACCATTTCTCGGGCAGGCACAAATCCACTGCCAGACAAACTCATTACCAAAACAAGACAGGTGGAAATAATCAATCTCCCTCCTGATCAAGAAAAGTGGTTTCTAGCCTATTGCATGTGAGGCTAGAAGAAACCATTTCAAGAATAAGAATCTTGATTTCATTATAAAGAGAGCTTACAATCGCTGGAATTTTTTCCCCTAATGTCTTCATTAGTTTCTCTACAGTAAATTAGAGCTTTTGTGATCTTGGACATTTATATTTCACATTTCTGGGCTAAACAGTCAAGGGAAGTATAAGGAAAACAAACAGGTAGTCCTCCACTTATGACCATAGTTGTTGATCGAAACAGTTATTAATCAAGACACCCACAGGATCACTCCACACAATGACTGCAAGCCTGGCTCTCCCAGTTGCGATCATTAAATGTTAATGTGGGTTGTTCAGCAAAGCGCCAGGGAGAGGGCTTAGGCTTCTCAGGCACGGAGGAGTAAGGAGAGGGTACAACCCTCCACCACAACAGGAGACCTGGACCATCTTCCTGCCCCACAAAGATCATCCACTTAGCTTTCAATTGTTCTGCAGCTGCTGACTATTGCGGCTGCCTTGTTCCAGCCTGCGAGCAAGCACCCATTCTTGAAGGCTTTTTCGCCAAATAGTGCAATTTGAAGAAGGGCCTTTCAAACGATCAGCAGAAAGATGGTGTTCAGTACCATTTTTGCCAGATTTTAAATCTATTCCTCCATCCCTCCTTGAATGGATCCCTCAGCATGCTGGGCAAATGGACCTAAAAACCAACATCCCTTCCACTTGCAACCTTTCCTACTGGGTTCCCCACTGACTTTCTACGGAAGCTGGCATAGAAAATTGCAAATGGTGATCCCATGTTCACAGGATACTAGGCAACTGGCCATTAATGTGAACAGGTTGTCAAGTGCTGAAATGCAATCATGTGACTGCCCCCCAAAGCAAAGTTTCACAATGACCAGCCGTAAAGCATCCATTCTGAGGCCATCATGACTAGTCATAAAAATGTTAAATGATGTGTGCTGAGAAATTGAAAGAAATTGATGATGTGCAGTAATAGAAACAAAGGATGATGATCTGATCTTGATCTGATGAATACCTCTAAGGAAATGAAGATATAAATTTGATTATAAATGAAAGGGCTATAATGCATGTCAGAAACTATGAATTGGCATCATTAAGTTAATAATAGTTGGATGTTATGTTCTAATGAATGGTGATAGTAGAAGAACAAGAGATGAAACTATTGTGTAGTGAACAGTGTGAAGGGGAAAAATAATTAGGGACATGAATGGAAGTGTGGGAATGAAACAAAACAGCACAAAAAAGGTCATTGTGGTCTGTTCAGAAGCCAAAAATGAACAAGATTGGGTTTTTTTAAAAAAAATATCTGCTTACGGAAATGTATATTTTGAATATATGGTTAAACTTAAGGGTATGAATACATTCATATACATGGCAAAAGAATGAATATAAGCTAAAGAGAGTGACTGATTTGATTGTGTAGGATAAAAGATTGAAACAATTAGTCTGAGAGATTCAGAATTTGGGCCAGATTATTTTTTGGTAGTGCCAAGAGTAGATCTTCGGAATGGGAAAAGCACAGAATAAAGATATGGGGGGAAAATACAATTCCTGTTATCTTAGAAAAGCTCAAAATATTCTTAAAGACTCATCTCATCCCGGACATTCTTTTTTTGAACTATCACCATCTGGCAGACGGTAAAAAAACAGAGACAAATAGGCTGAAAAATATTTTTTATCTCAGAGTTGTAACCATATTAAACCACAGTTAGTGCAACATTGAAGTGCAATATTAGGGGCAGCACAGTGGTGAATAGAATGTGAAGGATGTGTGTATATGATGTATGTTCTTATTTGTGGTTTTTACTTGTGTGTAGTGTGCACTGTGGACAGCACTTAATTTCGTTGTGAGTTACACAATAACAATAAAGATATTCTATTCTATTCTATTCTAAAATGAGAAGTTGAGTGATTTGCAGGAACACAAAATAATACACATTCTGTATGAAAAAAAAATGAAACACAGAATGGATGAGGAGTGTAAAGAAAGAGGATGTGGGCATTACTTGAAACAGAATGAAAATAATTATGTTACAGGTACCACAAAACAGTGTCAAATTATGCTAAGGAGAAGTATGTGAAATTATGAAGTGAAAGAAGTCATAGATGAGGGGAAAATGCTTTTAAAATTATTGCTGTGAGAAAAAAGAAAAGAGGACTATGATAATTTGATGGTTTCAAATTATAGAGAGATATGTAGAAAATGTTGTCCGTGTAAATTAGATAAGCTATATTTCTTTTCTCTCTTTTAAGTTATACACTATAATTTATTTAGCTTACTCTAATCAAAAAAGGATGGGCATATACTGTATGTATGTTTGCATGAATGTAGGTTATGGGGTATGCATATAATATTGATATGAAACTTGAAGGGAAATCAGCTTTAATTCTTTCAAAAAATAAATTTATCAAAGCATTTATTGCAATAAAATTGCTATACTGACAACTTCTTTACTTTCACAATACTATATAAAACTTGAAGTCACAGAGAAAAGATAATATACCAACAGCAGTACACTATACCATACTGTGAACTATTCATTACACTAGGGAGTTCTTCCTCATAAGTATTTCAGGATTGTGAACAACTCAGGATTATGGACAACTGTTGTTTCTGTTTTTTAAAAATATGTCTTTTATAAATACATTTTTCTTACTCAAATATATTATAAGTTCAGTAAAGCAATAGACTGCATTTTCAGCAATAATCCACCTGGTGGCATTAACAAATGATTCGTAGGAGAATGGCAAAGGCTACTTATACAAAGACTGCAAATAAAGTTAAATGTTATTCAAATAAAATAATTTTGTTACTTGGGAATAAAATTTTGTTATATTTCAAAGAGAAAGTAAACTAGAAAGAGCTTTAATTTAAGATTTCTTTAATCTCAGTTAAAGTTCTTTCCTCTTATATTATCTTGCCAATGCTTGCAATAATATTATATATGGTATTGTGTTATTTTAAAAATAGATATGCATCTAAGGTAAGATATACTTCTAGAATTTTTTGTTCTCAAGTCAGATGTTCCTGAGGCAGGGAAACAATGTCACCTGCTTGTAATCCCAAATCAATCTCCAGAGAAACATTGCAGTTGAAAAAAAAGTTATTTTCCTGGCCTTACTCTACAGCAGAAATGTCAAACTGCCCATCCGTGGGTTGGTTGCATCATGAAGAGGTCGTGCCCACCCCAGCTCCAGCAATGCGGAAAAAAGTTGCGATACATCACGACACATCACATGATGCAGCAAGTTTGACACCCATGCTCTACACCAGTGGTTCTCAACCTGTGGGTCGGGACCCCATTTGGGGTCGAATGACCATTTCACGGGGGTCGCCAAACAACGCAGACCACCATTTTTCCCCCTTTTCCTTAGCTATGCTACTCCCTTTTATTCTATTGGCTTTTGAAAGCCAATAGAATAGACTCTCTTGAATAGAGTCTAATTCTATTGGCTTTCAAAAGCCAATAGGAATTGTCCAGGCTGTTTCTGCCCTGCTGAGCCCACCAAAAGACCCATTCTGCAAACGGTGCTGCACCAGTTGAGTAGTCCTCGACTTACGACCGGTTGAGTAGTCCTCAACTTACGACCGGTTGGTGGTCGCGGCATTAAAAAGGTTAAGAACCACTGCTCTACAGGAACAAATATCCATGTTCTAGATTTCACAGAAGTTCTAACTGGGAGCTGCACCAAAGTCAATCTGTTTTCTTCCAGCATCATATCTACTGAATCCCCATCGCCTATCAAAGTAAGGAGAGCATTTAGTATACAGAATCTGCTTGACTTCTATACCCATGGTTGTTTCATCCAATCAGTCAATCAAGATTAACTTCATCCTTTGTTATGCATTCTGTATGTGTTAGGAATGTGAGATCATGAGAACTGTAAAAGCTACAGTGAAGGCTGTGAGGAAGACGAATTCATTTCTTTTTTAAAGCTGTTCCTATTTATTTTTTAATTTCTTAATATGGTATTTTGGAGATACTTAGGAGTGATCTAATAGCTCGGTGTTAATGCATCAGGCTGGAAACCAGGAGATTGTGAGTTCTAGTTTTGTTTAGACACAAAACCAATTTGGTGACTTCGGGCCAGTCACTCTCTCTGAGTCTTAGGAAAGAGGCAATGGCAAATCACTTCTGAAAAACCTTGCCAAGAATACTGCAGGAACTTGTCCAGGCAGTTTCCAAGATTTGTTCATGATTGAACAGAAGAAAAAAAAAGTATGTTCGTATGTGTATGCGTATGAGTCAATAACTTAAATTTAATTAATTTTTACATTTTTTAAATGGAATCCTGTTAAAAATCTGAGACTTTAAAACTGTATTAAACTCAATTTGTCTTTTTTATGCCATGTGCTGCTGCTGGAACAGCAATATTGTGGGTTCTCTGGAGTGTTTTTGAGTTATTATCCAAATAGGTCAATTCCCCAATCATCTGTTATATGCTTATGACCTCAGCCTACTTGCCTCTTTAGGTTTCTCTGCTTATTCTTAACTCTGTGTATAGTGAATTCCAGATTCACCAATAAGAATACTGCCTTTCATCCCACAGATTCCAACAGATCCTAGCCACTACTGTATCAGTATCACAGGCAAATACCAAAAAAGCCTGAAAATAATTTTATTATGTATAGCTCTGAATCATATAAAATATTGATACTCAACACAGCCTTCTGCTTATAAAGTGCTGAGTACTGTATATAGTTTGCTAGAAAAACATTCAACCTTCTTCTGATAGAAACAAAAGATTTGTAACTAATTACCCAGTAACACTGTATAAGTCTTCTCCATGCACACACACATGCAGTACGTACAAAACAGAACTAGTGTGGTATAGTGTTTAAGATCTTTGATCAGGGTGGAAAAACCCAGGTTCTAATCCTCCCTTAGGCAAAAAGATGTCTGAGTGATTCTGGGCCAGTCACTCTTCTCTACCCTAGTTTGGGAAGTTGAAAAACATTTATCTACCAATCCATACTGGAGCAGAGTAGTAGATCAAAAGAGATCTTGCAGTTATACATCACACACAGACACACCTGTGTATGTATTCATATTCACACAGAAAGAACTTCTTTTTAATGTGAAATACGTCAGCTTCCTGATTTGAACTTCTTCTTTTCCAAGTTCTATTCCATGCATCATTCTTTCCAAACATTTTCTGTCATCCATACCCCTAATCTTCCCACAGGCCCAATTAATTTTTTATTTATTTTTCACATTTTTTAACCACCCATCTCCCTCACAGAGGGACTTTTTTTTAGTTTCTTTGATATAATTTGTTTGATCTTACAGGTTTTAAACTTCAAGGCCATATCATAAATCATAAAACCTATTTGTTACAGGAGTTCACTGATCTTTATAATGTGATGTTTGCTTTTAACTTTGATCTTAAAAAAACAAGCACAAACATGCTGAACTTAAAATTTCCATGGTTGATTTTAGAGTTGTACTCAGTATTTAACCCTCTTAGTTTTAACCCCCAAAATTGATTTAAGGATAAGAGCAAACATTTTTCCCACAAAAATAACCATCCACTTCTAGGAATGTTTGCCTTTTCTCACACCTGTTTGGCAAAGCAGTTATGACAGTCCAGTGCTTTGGTGCTATTTTTTAATTCAGTTAAAAATGTCTTCAGAGAATGAGCTGAGCAAATTTCTGAAAACACACTGACACATAACTAAACCCGAGCAAAAGAAATGGCAATAAATGCAAAGGCCGGATTGATTGGCCATAGATACTGTATATTATTAATGAAAGCTTATTCAAAACATTTCCTGAATAATGGACATTTAGCCTAGCATCCAATTGTATATTCCATCAATGAAAGCAATTTCCTCTGACATAACAGAAATGATTTTTCTTCCACCAGCAGTTCCATTTCCTACTCTCAAAATGTACTCTGGAGAATCCACTCTCTAAAAACTAATTGGTTTGGTTGTACATGAAAAGCTGAATCTATGAAGCTAACTCAAAGTATCTAAAGCACTACTGGATTCCATTCATACATATCATTCCATTCATGAAGCCAATTTCCATCAAAATGCCTAAAGGCAGAACGTAATTTCAGTACCAGTGAAGCAATATTCCACCCCCCCCCCACTACTTCCAAACTCCCAGCTCAGTTCAAATTTATAGTATTAACCAGGATGAATATTTGAGTGAGATACACTCTCTCTCCCTCTTTCTCTCTCTATCTTTCTCTAACAGACATTAGTGTAATGCATTTTAAAATCTCATCATTGCAATGGACTTGCTATGAATTTTCCAAAGCACCAGAAAGAAAAACAAGAAACAATGGATGGAAACTAATCAAGGTGAGAAGGGGCGTTGTCTTACCTGAACGCCTTTTCTCAGCACGGAGATGGAGAATCCACCAATGGATTAACTCTGCCTTCCTGCCGATTAGACCGAGTCAGCCAATTTGTCACGCCCGTCCTAGGGTAGCCACTCCCCAGTTTTGGCGAAGGCGAAGTAGCTGACTACCATTCGGCGTGTTGGCTCCCGGTACCCTACTATGAGCTAATTGAGTTTAAGGGTGGGAGTGGATTCTCCATCTCCGTGCTGAGAAAAGGCGTTCAGGTAAGATAACGCCCCTTCTCCAGCACTGGAGATGGAGAATCCACCAATGGGACATACCAAAGCCTCACTGTCCCGATGGGGGGGGGAAATAGGAGAGGCCGAAGCTGTGTCCGCTGAGATTACATGCTGGAGAACCTGGAATTAAGAAGAAGCTACCTAACAGTGAGAAACAATCAACCAGTAGAACAGTTTGCCTTCAGAAGTTGTGGATGCGTTATCACTGGAGGCTTTTAAGAAGAGATTGGACTGCCACATGTCTAAAATAGTATAGGGTCTCCTCTTGCTTGAGCAAGGGATTGGACTAGAAGACCTCCAAGGTTCCTTCCAACTCTGTTATGATTTTCTGACCTTCTGAATATAAAATGGGAAAAACTAAGCAGATAACTTGCCTGTTCATTCTTGGTAAGCCTGGTTTTATTATGAATATCCGATGTAACTAAATTGAACCCATGTCTCTCGGACAGAATTCTTAACAGCAAAACCACAGTCCGGCTCCCACATTTTCCAACTCTGTTGTATACCACCTGGCTTGGGAATGGAAGAACCTAGGCAGAAAAGATAAAAAGATGTTAGCCTTCCTGTCTGGAAATATTTAATTGCAAAAACATGATTTTGTTTTGACCTGAGACTGAAATTTTGAAAATGAGTACTTCAGAAGCAAAAGAAATTCAAAAGTTTGAAATATTAAAAAAGCAGAAAATATTTCTTTTTTTCTCATTTCTCTTAACGCTCTTGGATTTTTATATCAAAGATGGGAAATCTTTGATATAAATATTATATATTTATATAAGTATTGTGCGGCATTTATATCTTTATATTGTGCGGCATCACAATACTAGCAAAATTATTCTGAAGGAAGGCTTTACTTCACAGATTATTTATGTCACTATGATTTAACATTGTTCCTATCATACTCTTAAATACTTTTCTCCTTCAGTGTGCTAAAAATAAAGTTCAATTATCCTTACTTAGTCTGATTGCACTTTTCAATTCATGGAGGACTATTATCTGCATATTCTCTCTTTGTAATTTAAGACAGAATACTAAATATATACTTATGTTTTATTTCTTGTAAACTTAATGTCTTAAAATGTCACAAACCATTCAGGATTATATACCTTTCTAGGAAATTATCTTATTATGTCTTGACTATGATGAATTGGTGAACTAATATTAATCCAAGACCGTCAAACAGTAAACACAGGCATTTCTTATTTAGATGGTTGTATTAAATAATGACTTGTTGAATAAGGTTTCATATATGTTTACATATCTTCAAGCACAAAAGTTGTAATGGATGTTTAACTCTTAATGACTAAACATTAACCACATATATACATAAATATGTTAAACCTAATAAAACTAGACAGGTACAACATGTTTTCTATTGTTTGAAGTCATCTTTCTATTGTCTGAAGTCAGCTTATTCACTAAAGCAGATTAATACAGTTTCTACCAAGCATACAAATAGGTAAATATAGGGGGTTTTTTTCAAAGAAAACTAGCCTTTTGAAAATCATAGTTTTCCTTTACTATTAAATTTACTTTTTTAAAATTCTGAATTATTTCAGCTCAATTTTGTCCACCACCTGAGACTAAATGTCACATGGCTATATCTGATTTTCATCTTTGAGAGTAGCAACAGAAAATATTATTTATTCGTGGATATTATTTATTCATGTATAATTGCATATTTTAAAATGCTCTGTTAGATATACCCACCCATTATATTTTATCTCAATAGTCTCCAATAACCAAGGTATGTACAGGTAATTCTTGTCTTATGAGCACAATAAAATCTAGAATTTAGTTGTATATTGTTTATAGTCATAAATTGAGGGACCATGTGACTGGACTCAATTTTACAACTGTTTTTAGAACAATCATAAAGTGATGGATGGCAGTCAGTATACTGGCAAAGAACTGGCATAATATATTAATAGCTAATCCCATTAAGCAAACTAGCTGCTATTTTTTGAACTAACTAAAAGTTTCCAAATCATTTCCAAAAGGGCCCCACTCATAACACATTACAATAATCTAGCTGAGATGATACCAGAGAGTGAGTAAATGTTGTAAGGCTTTCTCTGTCCAGGTAAGATCGGAGTAAGTAAATTAGCAATGCCTTGATAAAAGGCATTCTGTGCCAATGAAGCCACCTGGCTTCTACTATCAGTGGTGATCCTGCTCCTTAGAGAAAGTGAGGACCCTTACAGGACAGGTAGAGCATCACTCAGTTGTCCAGATGCATCACTCTTGAACAATATCCCGATCTTGCTTGCATTGTTGCAGACTTATTTTCTGTACAAGAGGGGGAGAATCTTTATTTTCTTATTGCACCATCTCACCTGGTTAAAATGCTTTTGCACATTTTAATTTAATGAGTTCTCAAGTTTTAAAAATAAACGGTATGAACTTTCAAGAAATGAACTGTGAAGTTTTAATGCTGCTCTACAAGTAATATATACTTTGTAGTAGTTTAAACAAAATTAAACAGATTAAATTTAAATATATTTATTGCTAAATAAACTTTACATTATATCCAGGCCAGAACAGTCCCAAAGATGCTTTTTTCAAAAGGCTACTGGATATTCTTAGGGTTTTTTTTTCTTTGAAAATGTTTCGCTTCTCGTTCAAGAAACTTCTTCAGTTCTGAACTGAAGAAACTTCTTGGATGAGAAGCGAAATGTTTTCAAAGGAAAAAAAAACCAAGAAAGTTCAGTTGCCTTTTGAAAAAAAGCACCTTTGGGACAACCATCACCTGGATAGTTGAGAATCTCCGTAAACAAGCAGGAACAAGAACATAGAGTTGCACTTAGGTTCTTGTGCTCCTTGATGGGGCTGCTTCTGTTTATCCTCTCATTTAAATTCAATGAAACAGGTTAATCTTAACTATTTACTGCAGAGGTGTCTATTATAGTGCCCATACAAATACACTGGGCTTAATCATGTTCCTCACTTTATTTCTAAAAGATATTTTTGAAAGAACAACAATAAATAGGGAGTTATCATCCTATAAAGCAGTCTTTCTCAATCTTTTAGGGGGGTTTTTTGCTTGTGGTCCCCTTCTGACCTTGTTTTTCTCCACTGGCCCCCCATCCAGGTCCCATTACCAGATATAGACGTGGGGCAGTAACTGTGTTTTCTAGAGTCAATAAGAAATATTTGCAGTATAATATATTTCTCGCTTCTCTGACCCCCTCCTTTTCTGTGTTCCATGTGCCGTGGACTCCCTATTACATGTTTTTCACTTGTGGCCCCCTTTAAATATCAAAGAGCCCCCAGGGGGCCATATAGCCCCCAGTTGAGAATTGCTACTATGAAGAACCAACTTCTACATTATTTTTACTTCAAAGAAAGCCCTAGGGCTCAAACAGGCATTTATTGATAATACTAATAAAATAATAAACAAATACTAATAAAGGTGGTATGTAGCTAAAATGCATTGGAAATATTTTTATTGGAAGAACAAACAGGATGCATCTTGTGGTAAGATGAGGGCAGAGAGTAATCACACCAGCTTGCTTTTTAGTAGGAGGACTTTGAGTGAAAGGCAATGCCCTCCAGGCAGTCATTTTGTGCTAAGATCACAAAATTCTCAAATCCCTAAATGTGACCAAAAATAAAAAAGAATGCCCACTCAAACAATGGGAAAATCAATTTTATTGTTTCAAAAACTCATAGCCTAAAAATGATGAGGTTGTTGGATTTAAATTAAATTCTGTGGAAGTTTATGTGTGGCACTGTGCTGGAGGAGCAAAGTTTATCATTGATTTAATTTCCAGCCCAATTTTCTGTTAAGACAACTTATAATAGTAAAAAATACAAATACAAACTAAAAAAAACAAAGAATTAAAATTAGACATTGGAATTAATTAGTAATTAAAATGTTGGCAGAAGAGATGTGTTTTTAACCATCTTCCTGAAATTGTAGGAGTGGTAAGTAAGCCTATTTCCCAAAAAGGACGCTTCACAGCTGGGAGCTGCACTGGAAAAACTCCTTTCTCACAATATAGCCAGAAACCTGATTATATTAAATAATCAGGCTTCTGGCAGCGAGAAAGAAACCAAAGTACAGAAGCTTGCTACATCTGAAAACAGTCAACACATTTATTTGGGCAAATTACAAAGACAAATTAATTTTGAGCCAAATGTAGTTTTTGCCCATGGATAACAGGGAGAAAGATTGAGATTATGCTGCACAGAACGTAAATAGAAGTTTGATTTCCAACATTTACAATCCTTACAGATTACCATCATCTAGAATCAACTCTCACTTTTTCCTTGATAGGAGAGATGAAAAACTCTCATCTGGGAAGAGATCTTTAAAGTCCTCATCTACAAAATACTCTTTCCTGGGCTTTTATATAACCTGCAAGACCCCAGAAGAATGTTTATTTGAACACACTTTCTTATCACTTTATCTTACACCAACAAACTTTTGTTTAATGTCCCTTGGTCAGTAGCCCAACAAAGTATGTAGAAAAGCCAAAAAACAAAATACTGAAATAAGCACAGAGAAGAGGGGATTAACCTATTCTCCAAAGCACCTGAAGGCAGGACAAGAAACAATGGATGGAAACTAATCAAGGTAAGATCCAACATAGAACTAAGAAGAAATTTCCTGACAGTTTGAACAATTAATCAGTGGAAAGACTTGCTTCCAGGAGCTGTGGGTGCTCCACCACTGGAGGTTTTTAAGAAGAGATTGGACAACATTTGTCTGAAATGGTAGTATAAGATTTCTTGCTTGAGCAGGGGGTTGGACTAGATACAGGGGTAGGCAGCCTCGGCTCTTTTATGACTCATGGACTTCAACTCCCAGAATTCCTAGGCTGACTCAGGAATTCTGAGAGTTGAAGTCCATGAGTCATAAAAGAGCCAAGGTTGCCTACCCCTGGACTAGAAGGTCCTTTCCAACTCTGTTATTTGGTTATTCTCTTGAGACTCTAAATTAAGTATTAAGTTTTCTTACTTCGAATGTGAAGTGATCGTTTCAAATATTGAAGCAAACCATAGATGAGATTAGGACAAATGGTCCCAGAGTTATATCTCTCCATCCTGTAAAATTTCTGACTCTCAATTCTCTCAGTCAGCCACTTGAGGTCAAGCAGTTTCATTAAGAGCCAAAATTACACTGCACTGAGCACACTGCCTTGACAACCATCCAGTCTTGGCTTCTTCACCCACTTCTAAACTTGTACAGATGTTTACTCTTTAAGCTTTCCCCAAAGACTTTACCATTGCAATAAAAATGCTTCATCAGATGAATCTCCCTTGTACTCAAGGATGCATATTTCTCCCAAGCTTATCTACTTTTATATTCCTGGCTAATTCACCTCAATCAATTGAACTATGAGGGTATGGCAGGTTCACGTTTTATAATAAAAATACATAAATATGTATATTTGTATGTATATGTATACAAATATGTATATATGTATGTGCTGTCTCAGATTACAGTAAATAAAAACTTATATAACAAAGTTTTAAACCCATTATATTTGCAGGAAATAAATGATTATTTTTATTCAAGAGTGTGGGC